AATAGAATAACTAAAACCACATTTGTTAAATATAAACAAATAATTTGAAATTCCAATTAGCAGGTACTCATGTCTTTATTCATCTCTCCTCAGTCAACAGAATCAATCAAAGCTCCCTGTCGAAATATACTTGTTTTCAAAGAATGTGAAATCTTCATACCAAACTTCACAACTGCCAGTCAAATTCCTCACTCGATTTAATTAACTAAAATTATTGATAATAATCTCGGGCTCGAGAAGACATTGCCCCAAAAGCTGTTCTTCCGGTTTCGCAAACAAAACCCCAACTAATCACCAACGTCTAATTATAAACGTATTTCTATCTGGAAGAGCCACTCGAAGCACTCGAGTTGCAGGCCAGGAATGCAGAATTGGACAACTGGTTCTGTGGCACAAGAGCCAAAATCAAACAAATCAAAAAAGTATGAAGGATGGGCCAATGGAAAGCACCTACTCTGTTATCAAGTGGCAGGGCGATGTTGCAGCAAGCACACAATATGTTGCCAGCTGTACAATGGGCCACTTAAACGACAACAATAAAAAATTATTAGAATGCCAAAGGCAGCCGAGGCAAAGGCAATGTGGCAAAGGACTCAGCTAAGGACTCGGCCCGGGACTCAGTCCGGCACTTCATAAATCTAGCAAAGGCATATGAAATACGAGTATCCTGTGCTGAGAGCAGAGCCAATCATGTTGCATACAACCAGGGGATGCAGCACAGGAGCACACAGCAAAAAATATGAAACTTAAATGATTTAATTTTATATGTGGATTAATTATAGAAATGGTGTCAATTATAGAAAAATGTGTCTTTTTTAAAAAAAAAAAAAATATTGTTTATTTATTTTTTTGAGCTTCTAATAGGTAAAATAATATCAGTGCATATTTTTAATATGAATAAAATTGTTATTGTAATAGAGTGAGTTATTTTTATGAAAAATACATCTTTATTTGAAAATATTTTCTATTAAAGCATTTTTACATTTTGTAGATTCTAATTCTAATCAAAATCTTTTTATATTGTCTTCTAAATATTTTCCCAAATATGAACGTATATTTTTTAATATAAATAAAATAACTATTTTAATATATTCTAAGCAAGTAATGCAGATATTAAATCTCCTTTTCATAAATCTTAATTTTTTCCAGTGAATAAAAGGACGTAGGCAACCTTGTTACTACTTTTTCTGCATGTCCTGACCACCCAGGACATACAAACCCAGGAGCAGCACACAAACTCGCACACATTTGGCTTGTGATTTATTAACAAGCTATCGTTTATCATGTGGGCAACAAAGGGTTAATGCCTGAAGGGCCTGCTGAGTTATGCACCAGCAGCTGCTGCAATTGCCAATTTGCTGGATGGGGCTATATTGCTATATGTGTGCTACAAGCTATGAGCTATATTGGAAAAGGACGGGGCGGGGCTGCACCCGAAAATATCTGAGAGGCATCAAGATAAACAATCGCCTCAAGATAAACAAAGGCGGAAAGTCACGAAAAGTATGCGCAAGACAAACAAAAAGCCAGCGGGAAAAAACGAAAAACCATGAAAGCCGCGAGAAGAATTCCGCACCGATAATTTATGTGCGCCGCCAAGTTTATAAAAATTAAGATATTTCCCATTAAACTTTTTTCATAGCTGGAGAAACGGAACCCGAGCTATATGCCCATAACTTATCTTGAAAATATTTGTTTTGAGCGCCGCGCTCTCGAGTATTTTTCTTCTTTTGATTTGGTTTTTCTTTTTGGTAAAAATCTGAACGTGTTGAAGCGTTAAATTTCCATGTGGGCGGCCGGCGAGAGAGAATGGCCAAGAAAAGAAGAAAAATAGGTGGAACGAGAAGCAAACAAGTTGCAAAGCTGGAAAAGGAGTCGACGTGGGTGCCGGGGCCAAGATAAAATGTTGACCAATAAATTTTGTGACCATGAACGACAAACACACAGAGGGCGAGAAGAAAATAAAAGGCCAGACGAGAAAAAGGAATCCAAAGCGCACGGTCAACAATAATAAACAAGAACGATTAGGGGCAAGAGGAGGCCCTACAAATGTGGAATGCTCTCTCAAGAATTCTTTTTCGGATCTTGACCAGTTCAAGAACACAATCAAGTCGTTCAACCGAATTCCTATAAAATTTCAATTGGCTCCCAAATACATAACAGGTTTGACCTATTTTAATTCAGACATTAAATGAATAATTAATAAACAGTTTCTTGCCCTACGAAGTGTACAATTTACATACATATTTTATTGATAAGGCAAAATGATACGGCAAATAAGCTTATCACCAAATTCGGAGGAAAGACATTTTTAATTGGGCTATTAAAATGCTATACATTCAATGACACCTTTCAAACGTTTAAATACCAATTAAAACGAAATAATATCCGTTCTATGGTTCGGAATAGCACAACAAACTGTGAAAACAAAACTTATTAAATAATATGTATGAAATATTAACAGAAAGGAGAAATTTAAGAACAGTCATACACTTTAATTTAATAAAAGAGCTTTGAACTTTTACTTGAGGCGTCCGAATGAATTAATTAAATGAAAGATCAGCTGAAGATCCATTCTCTTCAATTAATAATAAACAAAGCGAGTTAACTTTCCTTGTCCAAAAATTAATTTTTCAGCTGTGACCCACAACTTGAACCATTGGGATGAATATTTGGGAATTTGAGATTTTTGATTAAAATTGTGAACTTTTTAGCTGCCTTTATATTAGTTTATAAAAATTTTAAAATCGAACAAAATTAATTTTCAAAAATATAAGGGTTTATGAGGAATATATTAATTTTTAAACCTTTAATTATGTTTATGGATTTGAGCTATTAATAATAAACGTTCTCAAAATTTAACGGTTTTTTGGTATTAATCTTTCTGTCGGAAAATCAAGGTATCTCCTTCCTTATATGTAGTTAGTGTACGAAAAATGTGGAAAACCTAGATGCAGTGTTAAATCAAACATAATCCTTTTTACGAATGTAAATATATTATGATTGAATTCAGATTCCACAAATAATTCATTCTAATAATATTGATTTTAGAATTATAGAACAAAAACGGAACCTTTCCAAATATAATATCCCTTTTTTTACCTTTTTATTTTTAAATACCTTTACAATTATGATAAACTTTTTTGTTATCTTTAAATATCTTGATAGTTGTATGTATAATTTTGTGGATTTCCTAAGAATTCAATGAATATATTAATATTTCTATTGGATCCCTTACATAATTTCGGAATCTCCTGAGCCAAAAATCCAGGTAACTTCTTCTTTATAGATAGTGTATGACAAATGTGGAAAAACTAGCGCGACGGGCGACTGGCGACTCGCGACTCACAAACAATGTCCAGCGATTTCCGATCGACAAGTTGGGGCCAAGAGCGTGATGAAGGGGGGGTGGGGTGGTGGCAGAGACGGAGACAGCAAGAATGAGCGGAGGAGGGGCAGAGAAAGAGGAGCCGCAGCGTGTGCAAGAATGCTCCGCGAGTGTCATTAACGTGCCGCTCAACTCGTTTTTCTTATCTCGAAAAACGTAAACGAAGCTGCATGGAGAGCTTTATTTACGTTCCGGCAGGCGAGTGTGTGTGCGTGTGCTTGGGAAAATTACCTGCAAAGGTGCCGCCGGAGCGCCTAATTGATAAGTTTGGTTTTCATATTTGTCTAGCTAAGTAATTAACTATGGTAATTTAGAAAATTGGGCAATTTTGACTGCTTCTTCTTACCTGTCGCATCAATGACGCACGCTGCCTACGCCGACTGCGGCAGCGACGCTGGCAGAGGAGTTTACGTTCGCTCTCTCTCTATCTCTCCCACTCGCACACAAACGTGTTGCGCTCACCAACACCAGGGCGAAATTGCACAGCTGAGCCAGGAAAATGCAGCGAATACGGTGCACAAAACAGAGAGCCGAAAACAATACTGTTATGTCAATTTCTTGCTGCTCGAGTTGAGTTGTTCTCTCTCTCTCTTTTATTTGCCTTTGTTGTTACTTTTTTTGGCACGTGAATCGACAATCGCATTTTTCAAATTCTTGCACTCATTCGCTTTGTGCATTTGTTTACGTCACTCGCCTCACACGCACACCCACCCACACACACGCGCGCGACTGAATGAAAGGCGCGTAAAGAAGAGAGTGTAAATGCCAGGAGGAGAGAGCGATTAATTTGGCAAGCCGCCGCACGCTCAAATAAACAAATAAATCATTTATATGTTTCTCGCCCACAACACTGCGTCCATGTGTATTAATAATCGTTACAGTCTGCTAATGCCCATTTTGCACAATCGTTTTAGGCTGGCAACAAACAATACAAAAATCGAAATTTCCACTCGCGTTTTGTTGTTGCCCCGCGAACTCTGGCTTCTTCAATCCGCAGATAAGCGAGTGCGATTATAAATCAATTGCGCGGCACTGTTGTTGCAAGCGCGATCGTCCGAATTGAGGGAAACACATTTTATTGCATTTTAATTAAGTTTCTGGCCTCGCAATGTTCAAACAAATTTATCCGCTGCCGAGGACCGAACGCGATGAAAACAAAACGGAGTATGGTCACATTTAAGAGTGTGACCGCCGCATATAAGCAATTTTTAGGCAAACGTAAGAAAACGTAACAGACCTTTCCACAGAAGTAAAATATTAAGGGTATTCCTAAATGGTTAGATTGCTTTCAGCTGTTTATCAAATTATCAAATTAAATTCTCAGAAATCAGCAAATACAAATCAGAGATTTGTATTCAGAAGCTGAACATTTTCGTAGACTTGCGCTTCTTAATGTGATTTGAACTTTGCTTTTTAAAGAGGCTTTCGAGTTGTTGAAATATTCTGGGTACTCAAACACAGCTTAGGAAATACATAAATTGAAATATGTAATTTGTTTTATGTAACAGCTGATAAACAGAACACCCTAAATATTTTCATTTTTTGCAACGCATTGTGCCATCTCCAAAACATCGATTACTTAAATCGATAAATAAAACTAAGGAATTTGCAAACGAGTGGGCAGTCCTTCGATGGGCGTAAAAATCATTGATAAAAACAAAATCGCTTAAAATTCCAAATTTTGGGGGGAGGGATCAGGACCGAAAGAACCGGGAGCATGTCGGAGCTGAAGGCGCCGTCGCTGCAATCGCTGCTGGAATCGGAGCGGGGCTCCACGGACAGTTTGCTGGCCGAATCCCTGCAGCTGGATTTTGAGGACGTGAGTTTGGGATTAGACCCCCTATAAAATATATATATTTCTATATATCTCTTGATCTAAAACTCAATAGCTAGATGATGCCGAGTTTGCCATTCCGCCCACCGATGTGCTGCCCACTTTGGAGGCGGTGCTCAGTGAATTCGAGGCGGATTCGGATGTGGCCTCCGAACTGGGAATGCCGATGCCGCATGCCACGCCCACGCCCTCGATTGGCGAGGATTCCACGATTAGGACAGATGGCCGTGGAGGCGGAGGATCCATCATGAGATATACTCTGCTCCACGGCATTTCCGCCCAACTTTCCTCGGCGGCGGAACGTGTAAATGCCGGTGCAGCCAGTTCCTGCGCCGTTTCCGCCTTCATAGCGATTGGGACTTCCCATGGACGCATCCTCAACTTCGATGTGACCCAAACCCTCAAGTGGGCTCATCAGGATAAGCATGGCCAGGGTGCGGTGGCCAGTTTGGCCTTTAATGCCGATTCCACACGGCTTTTGGCCGGTTACTCCAGAGGATTGGTGGCCATGGTGGACACCCACACAGGAGACGTGCTCCGCGAGCTGTTCGATGTGATAACCCCGAATACCGGGGTGCTACACGTTAAGTGGACCTCCCGATCCTCGCTAGCCTTGTGTGCCGATGCCGGCGGATCCGTGTGGTCGCTCAGTTTCACCCGGAAGCTGGGCATCCGCGGCTGCCAGTCGAGATGCTTGTTTTCCGGCGCTCGCGGCGAAGTCTGCGCCGTGGAGCCGCTGATAATGGACGCCCAGGGTCGCCACGAACTGGACCAGTACTGCATTGTGGCCCTGGCCACGTTGTCCAAGTATTTCATAGTCACCGTAAGGCCGAGGTTGAGGGTCATCAAGTATCACGTGCTCCAGGGACCGCCGGATTGCCTGCCCCTTCTCGCCTGGCATTTGGTGCTCATCCAGGCGGCCGACACTTCGCGTTCCGTGGATCCCGTGATTGTTGTGGGCCGCGGCAATCAATTGTTCTTTCACCAACTCTTCGTCTCGAACGGGAGGATCACTCTGCTGTATCTGCGTCATGTCCAGCTGCAAGGCAGCCTGCTATCTGCCCACTGGCTGGGCCCCAAGTGCGTGGCCTCGTTGGACACGGCGGAGGTTATTCACCTGGTGGACGTGAGATCGAGCAAGGAGCTGGAATGCATGGATATGGCGAATGCTGGGTTGGTTTATGGCTCGGCGCAGTTTAAAGGACTGGCCACGGGTGGTAATGTGTCGCCTGCCTTCGCTTTAGCTGGCTCAAATGCCTGTTATAACTCTGTAGTTTCACGGGGAACGCAGCTTTATGTTTTGGGCGCCAGATCGCTGCATATAATTGGAGTTAGAACGTGGTCCGAGAGGATTAGCTATCTGGTAAGATTATAAATGAGGATTTACTATGACCAATCAACAGCTCATCTATTTATTTACCAGGTAAAACACCACCGCTGGCAGGAAGCCTGTCAACTGGCCTTGGATGGCTACCTGGCCTCCGTGGATCGTCCGAGAAAACGCGCCCAAGCCAAAGAGCGCATCATCATGCTGTTTAAAGAATATATAGCAAATTCCGCCCGGGCGCCCGACTATTGTCTCGGTGCCATTGTCAACTGCCTTATAACCGTGGGCGAACTCGATCTTCTGTGGACGCAGCTGTGGGAGAAGCTGCACAACAGCAGCACAGAGCTTTTCCTGCAACACATTTCCGAGCACATCGAAAGGGAAACGATACGCAGTGTTAATCCCGTGATTTCCCAGGCTTTGGTGGACTACTGGCTGGAGCACTCGCCTGCCAAACTGGAACGGCTCATCCTGAAGCTGGACTGGATGTGCCTGGACTTGAATCAGGTGCTGAAAGCTGTGAAGAAGCATCGTTTGTACCGAGCACAGATCTACCTCAATACGCAGGCTTTGAATGATTATACGGCGGCGCTGACAGAACTTTTGCCTTTGGTGACTCCGGAAGAAACGGATTTGGGCAACTGCCTGCTGGTCTACGTGTCCAGTTGTCTGGCGGGAAGGGGCTATCCCAGCGGGGAAATTCCCGTGGAGCTGGTGCATCAAGTGAAGCACGATGTCCTGCGTTGTCTGACCTCTCAGCAATCGAAGGAGAATGCCGGCGATGAGATGCCTTATCCCTATCTTAGAGCTCTCTTGAAGTTCGACACGCGGGAAACCCTAAACGTGATATCGCTGGCCTTTCAGGAGCGAGAATTCAGCAACGAGCTGGGTCTATCGCATCGCAAGAGGATTATCAACCTGCTGCTGGAGATAATGTCGCCCGAAAATGCCACAGTGAGATTTTATAATCAACTTACTTTTAATTAGAGCCCTGCATGAAAGGATTCAGTGAATTATTTTGAATTTTTTGTTTTATATGAACGAGTTAATTAGAATTTTGAGTTTAATAGAATTGAATGAATTTGAATTTTGAGTTTAATAGAATTGAATGAATTTGAATTTTGAGTTTAATAGAATTTAATGGCATGAATTCCGAAATAATTCAAACGACAATTTCTTTAGAAGAAGAAAGGGCCATAATTTTGTGATTAAATCTGCCTGAATTTTATTTACTAAGCAGTTAATTTTCCACTTTTTGTTCTCAGGAGAAAACACAAAAGAAATCTGGCAAATTCCAAAAATTCATAAAAATTATTTATTCATTTATTCAATTTGAAATGAATTAGAAAAACATTCTATTTATTTCACATAGAATGGAATTAAACAAATAAGAAAAATTAAATGATTCACCCTGGGCTCTAATTTTAATCTTATAAAAGTTTTATATTAAAACATTCCCTTGTATTTCCTTTTAGTGGGCGGAGATCGGCTGCCTGTTGAACTTCATTGCCCAGCAGATTTCGATGCAGTGCCTCCCTCGCGACAGGCAGCTTTTGGAGCGAGTCCTCAGTCACCTGGCGCAGGAGGAGATTGCCAACGAGAGTAGTCGTCAGCATTCCGAGCGGGAGAACGCCTGGCATGAGCTGCTATCCTCCAACTGCCTGGCCGAGATCAGCAGCGATGAGGAGCAGCTGCGGCTGGCCGAGCGGGCCAAATGCTATTGTGTGGTGGAGTATCTGCTGGAGAAGCTCAATCGATACGACACCATCCTGGATTGCTACATTCGAAACGAAGCCAGGCATGAAACTATGTTTGCTTATATGGAGCGTCATGTTATCACGCCAGAGCGATGCATTTACCAGCAGTTGAGGAGGCACTTCAGGGAGTTGCTGAAAATCAATGCCAAGGAAACCACGCGCCTGCTGGCCTTGCACTATCCCGAAAAGATTCCAGAGCTTCTAGATAACCTAAGAAAGGAGGAGCCTCTGCTTTATGTGTTCCTCAAGTGCCTCAATGATCGTCGAACTGAACTGGAAGCCAGCCAGTTGGAGTTGCTACTCGAACTGCATTGCAAAATGGAATCGCCTGCTGCTGTCCAGGAATTTCTGGTATGCAATCATTCGGGCTATCGTTTGGATCACGCCATTGCCATCGTGGAGAGCCATCACCTAAACCGATCTGTGATTTACCTGTACGAAATGCAGGAGAGCTATGCGAAAGCCTTCGACTTGTCCATGGATCTGCTGAAATCCGTCGCTGGCGGCGACGAGGAGGCCGCCAAGGAGGCGCAGGAAATCTGTGCTCTTCTCGGTCGAGGCTCTAATATTCTACCCGCAGCGGAACTCGAGCGCTGTTGGTTTGTCCTACTGCAATATATTCTGCCGCTCCAGGAGCTGCAGTCCATCACCAAGTCGCTGCTGCACGAGGCCTCGCAGCATATCGATCTGCATAATTTGGTTCAGCTGATTATGAACACCCACAATGTGTCGAGCAGCTTTGGTGATATCAAGGATCTGCTGATGGGCATGCTGGATAGTTCGAGGCAGCAAACGGAGGGTCTGCGCCATTCGGCCGGAATGTTGTGCCAAAGTCTTCACCTCGAGTTTGCGCAGCGGTATCGAAACGCGCGTCGTGGCCTCTGGGTGACCAGCACCAAGTGCTCCGTGTGCCGCCAAAGGCTGTACGATCACAGCCAAGTGCTAATCCTCGGCGGCTGCGGTCACGGCTTGCACGAGGAGTGCATGGAGGAGGCGGAAACGCAGTTTGAGGAATGTCCCAGGTGCTTCTCGGTTATTCCGGATCAAAGTCTTGCTTTGCCGCGGCCAAATAAAAATCTAATCAGCATTTCCACGTCCCTGGAAATGGGCGCGTTGCAGCTAAAGGCGCCGCCCAGGCGATTCAGTTAGTTTGCTGTGTCTTTTTGTATATTCCAATTATTCCTCTATGTATTTATTGTACAACACCATGTATTGTATGTGTAAGTAAAGAAATTGCATGATAAAACCGGCGTTTTAGTCTTTGTTCAAGTCATTCGTTTATTTTCTTATAAAATAAATATGAAATATATGGGACACTGAACTTGGGATACAAATATTTACATTACCAAAGTATATTAATACTTTTCAAGCACACTTTTAATTACAATAATCACAAATTACTAATTTCATCCCTTTTCTTTAACTTACTGTCGCCTTGGTGGGATTATCCACAGGAAAAGTATTGTTATAATGCTGTATAAACTCGGTGCATTGTTCGGCTGTTAAATATGTGAAAATAGATTTAAATTTCAGTAAACAATTTCAGATTTAAAACGTTTTTCTCACCCTTGGGAAAAGACAAGGTCTCATAAAGCTTCAGGTTTCGCATTTGGAAGAATCTGAAAACGCTGTGAAAGATGAGATCGTCTTTTGTCTTATGAGCCGCCTCCAGAAACTTGCGAGCTGGCACTTTATCCAGGCCCAGGGAGTTTTTGGCCAGTCTCAAGGCATCAATTACTTTGCCCTGACCCAGCATAACTTCAATAATTATCTGAAAAATATATACAGTAGAAATAAAAGGGAAGATGTAAATATACTTTATAGCTACCCACCTCATGTGCCTGAATCCTGCCCAGCATATCGATGGCCACCTGGGATATGGCCGTATCCACATCCGAATGGGACAGCAAAAAGCAGGCCACCGACTTGGATTCCAGCAGCATTGAATAGCTGACCAGGCGTCGCAAGGTGTCGAAGCTGCGATTGTTGATCAGCTCGCTGATGATCATCTTGCTCAGCTCCTCCTGGGCGGCAATGTTGAATTTGTTCAGGGATTGCAGGTAAAGCATAAGGATAGATTCCGTGTACGGCCGACGGGCAATGCGCTGGAAGATCTGTACCATATCTAGTTGTTCTATAAGCACAATGGGCGGAGTGCTTTGCTTCAAGGTGGAAGTCTTGACATTCGAGGGCTGAGCGGTTTGATTTTGCAATTCCAATTGAACCCAGGAGCTGAAATGTATATAATAAAATTATATATAAATTTATAGAATCTATTGATCGTAATCTTACGCATATATCTTGTTAATCCTGCTGAAGATGGTCTCTAAAACTGGCAAAAGCGTTCCCTTGTATTGATCATCCACCAACTGCCCCACAACCTTTAATAGCATTTGCTTGCCACTGCTGCGCTGCAGCAGAAACTCTGTAAGTCGAATGCGATCCGAAATCAGTTGGCACAAGGGTTCTATGCAGAGATTCAGGAACCACATGCAACCCAACTTGGCATCGATTACGATATTGGGCTGAAACAGCACCCAGTGGGTGGAATCTGCAAGGGATTAATAATGTAATCAAGGTTTTAAGAAGTAGATTTAATACCCACACAACTCGCACTGCAGAATCTGACCATCGGGCGACAGCGAAGGTAGCTTCAAGCCAAAAGGTTTAATGGAACGTCCTGGGGTAACTGGCGTATGGTAGGTTATTTCATTGATCACCTCGCCGGGCAGGGAAATATCGAATAGCAACGAAGTCCCCGAAGCCTGGTGGTGCACCACAATCAGATTATCCACCGTGTTGATCGCGAAGCGACCCACGAGACTCAAGCGAAGGACGTGGCACTTGCGGGGCGCCAAACCGGGGCCATTGAGCAGGTGCACCTCCACTTCCATCTGACCGGAGCTGCTGTTTGACTGGAGGATAAGCACGGCCAGGACGCCGTACACCTGACCCAAGGTTACCTTGCTCTCCTGGACATCTCGACTGGGATTGCCCACTAAAAAAAGGTTAAAGGGAGTTTTATAAGGATTGTATATCAAAGGGATATATGAGATCAACTTACAGTCCACTTTGGGCAGCTTGGTGATGACCTTCTGCTTGACCAGGACCGGAATCAGGGAATTTCCCTCGGTGGTGCAAAGCAGAGCCACATTGGCATCACAGCACCAGGCGAACCACTTGATTCCGATGCTTAGGGATTTCACAGAGCGCACCTGTCGCTTTTCCGGAACCACGGTGTACACTTCAACACCCGTATTCGAGATCAGGGCCACCTCTCGATTGTGGACCCACACGAAGCCATGGATCATGGTCTTCACCTGGTGCGTGATGATCTCCTGCAGCAGAGGTTGATCCCCCTGGAAGCATATAAACTCCACGGCGTTTTCCTTTCGCTGAACGGCGAGGATTTGATTATCCGGTGAGAATTTGATGGATCGTATAGCTCCGCCACGATCATTCATGCAAAACGAGATGACGGTATCCTCGGTGGAGCCGGGTCCCTTGACCACCACACCCGTAGCTCCACCAGATCGAACAGCAAAGATCTGAAAGATATTGGGTTTAGCACCTCTTAATTGCATTTGGTAACTTGTTTTTAGTTTACCTGCTTGTTGGAGTCATCGAAAAAGACATTTGTTAGCTGGCTCACGGCATCGAAACGTATGGGATTTGGTGACAGTTCAATATAATGAATTCCATTCGAATTATCCATTGTTTTGAGGGAAAATAATAAATAACAAACTGCAGGCAATACAACTTTTATACACCCCCCATTAGGGATGGGATTTAAGTAAAGAGTTAGGGATGGGTCACGTGTAAGTCACGCCGTGGAATGAGTCACTGATAAAAATAACTGTGAACAAATAAAAAACTAATCTTTTGATTAATTTTAGTGTTTGAAATATTACATAAAAATCAAATATTGTAAAAAGCAAATCTCTGCTAAAAAATAATTCCATTTATTTGCTATAAAATTGTTTTGTCACTTTCCAAGTCACGGTTTGAATTTTGCCCATCCCTATCAATCATATTTTTGCCAGCCCTATCAGCTGTTGTGTATACAAACAAAACCGATAGGAAGAAGAAGCGCAGGAGCCGCAAGAAATTTTCGTCTCAACCGTAACTTATTTGATTTAATATACTTTAAATCATATAATGCGTCACCTGGACAAGTGCCGCGTGTGCTCCTGCGGAGTGGCGAGGGACGACGAGGCCTACAATCTGCTGCAACTGCCGCACTTGGCCGTCAAGTTCTCGGAATGCACAAATTTGGTTGTGGATCCCGACGACCAGGATATTTTGCCCAGTGAAATTTGTTCCGAGTGTTACGAGCTCCTGGAGAAGTTCCACTCCTTCCGAGCACTTTGCATTATAGCCGATGGGAAATGGCGTACCAAAAGTCTGTATACCAGAAAGAAAATCGACCGGAGAAAAGCTGTGCACAGGGTGGATGACGACGAGGAGGAGGAGGAGGAAGAGCTTCCAGAGGATTACGAAGAGGATGCGGAGCATCCAGAAAACTATGAGGAGGAGCCAGAGGAGATGGAGGAAGAGCAGGAGATCCTACAACTCTTTGAAGCCCCAGAATTGATCATATGCGATAACACCTTGAGTCCCGAGAAAACCGAAAAGACACCGCCAAAATTGGATGGAAAAGTCAGCCCCAAAAAAGTTCAGAAGACATCGGTACCCCTCAAGAAATCTACACAAGTGAGTTTTAAAGGGACTATAAAATATCGTACCAAAGAAATATAATTTTGTACAATTTAATTAAATTTTCTTTTTATTTTAGGAATATTTGCATATTAAATTCAAGTGCGATATTTGCTCCGATGAATTTCTCGAGGAACGACGCCTGTTTATGCACAAGAAAGAGCACGAGGGCCACATGCTGTACCACTGCACTGAGCCCGGTTGCGATGAAGCCTTCAATCGCTACGAGAATCTGAGGCAGCACGAACTGGGACACTCGGAGGAGGGCGAGCGGTTCGTCTGCGAGGAGGAGGGCTGCCACAAGATGTACCGGCACAAGGCCTCGCTCAAACACCACCAGAGCAAGGCCCATGATATTGGCAAGCCTCTAAAGACCCACATGTGTGAATTCTGCGGACGGGTGTTTAGGAACGGCTCCGCCTTGAGTCAACATCGCTTTACGCACGACGATCAAATGGAATTGCCATTTGCCTGCGAAATGCCAGACTGCGCGCTGCGATTCTACAGCAAGGAGAAGCTCAAGATCCACATGATGCGCCATCAGGGTATAAAGAACTATAGCTGCCCCTATTGTGGACTCAAGAAGACCACGAAGAACGAACTGCGACTCCACATCAATTTCCACACACTGGAGAGAACCTGGTCCTGCAAGGAGTGCCCCAAAGTGTGCAACAGCTCGACGAGTCTCAAGAAGCATGTTCGTTCGGTTCACGAGAAGGCCCGGGATTACGCCTGCAACTATTGCGAGAAGAGATTTGCCACCTCGGACACCCGAAAGTACCACGAGATGACGCACACTGGGGAAAAGAACTTCGAGTGTCGCGAGTGCGGCAAGAGGTTTATACAACCGTCTGCCCTGCGTACACATCTAAAAATCCACGATTTGGAGGAGGATCAGCAGACAACTTTCACACTGGTGCAAGTGACTAGCATTAATTAAGACGGCAAACATTTCAGGCTCTACAAAAAGCAATAAGCAACGAAAATAACTTAAATCATATCTACAATTACCCTCAATAAGGACAATAATTTATATAACTTATATTTTTAAAGGAGGATCAGCAGACAACCACCACACTGGTCCAATTATAATGAATTAAGAAGGCAAACATTTCAGGCTCTACAAAAAGCAATAAGCAACGAAAATAACTTAAATCATATCTTAATCCTAACTGCATTTCTAAATCTAATAATCTACAATTATTCTCAATAAGGACAATAATTTATATAACTTATATTTTTAAAGGAGGATCAGCAGACAACTACCACACTGGTTCAATTATAATGAATTAAGAAGGCAAACATTTCAGAATCTACAATTAGAACGGAAATAACTTAAATCATATCTAATCAACTGCATTTTCAAATCTAATAATCTACAATTACTCTCAATAAGGACAATAATATGATAATCAACTGCATTTCCAAAACTAATCATCTACAATTACGCTCAATAAGGACAATAATATGATAAATTTACGGTATAGGGAATTATTTTGTAATTATTATTTACTGGCGTCTAAGTTTCCTTTGTTTATGTTTGTTAAACTTTAAAAACTGGTTTTATTTGAATTATGTTTGCTATTAAAATTATATTTTTGGAGGAGGATCAGCAGACAATTTTCACACTGGTTCAATTATAATGGATTAAGAAGGCAAACATTTCAGAATCTACAATTAGAACGGAAATAACTTAAATCATATCTAATCAACTGCATTTTCAAATCTAATAATCTACAATTACTCTCAATAAGGACAATAATATGATAATCAACTGCATTTCCAAAACTAATCATCTACAATTACGCTCAATAAGGACAATAATATGATAAATTTACGGTATAGGGAATTATTTTGTAATTATTATTTACTGGCGTCTAAGTTTCCTTTGTTTATGTTTGTTAAACTTTAAAAACTGGTTTTATTTGAATTATGTTTGCTATTAAAATTATATTTTTGGAGGAGGATCAGCAGACAATTTTCACACTGGTTCAATTATAATGGATTAAGAAGGCAAACATTTCAGAATCTACAATTAGAACGGAAATAACTTAAATCATATCTAATCAACTGCATTTTCAAATCTAATAATCTACAATTACTCTCAATAAGGACAATAATATGATAATCAACTGCATTTCCAAAACTAATCATCTACAATTACGCTCAATAAGGACAATAATATGATAAATTTACGGTATAGGGAATTATTTTGTAATTATTATTTACTGACGTCTAAGTTTCCTTTGTTTATGTTTGTTAAACTTTAAAAACTGGTTTTATTTGAATTATGTTTGCTATTAAAATTATATTTTTGGAGGAGGATCAGCAGACAATTTTCACACTGGTGCAATTATCATAAATTAAGAAGGCAAACATTTCAGAGTCTACAAAAAGAACGGAAATAACTTAAATCATATCTAATCAACTGCATTTCTAAATCTAATAATCTAAAATTACTCTCAATAAGGACAATAATATGATAATCAACTGCATTTCTAAAACTAATCATCTACAATTACGCTCAATAAGGACAATAATATGATAAATTTACGGTATAGGGAATTATTTTGTAATTATTATTTACTGACGTCTAAGTTTCCTTTGTTTAAGTTTGTTAAACTTTAAAAACTGTTTTTATTTGAATTATGTTTGCTATTAAACTTATATTTTTGGAGGAGGATCAGCAGACAACTTTCACACTGGTGCAATTATCATAATTTAAGAAGGCAAACATTTCAGAGTCTACAAAAAGAACGGAAATAACTTAAATCATATCTTAATCAACTGCATTTCTAAATCTAATAATCTACATTTACCCTCAATAAGGATAATAATATGATAATCAACTGCATTTCTAAATCAAATAATCTACAATTATACTCAATAAGGAAAATAATATGTTCAATTTACGGTATAGGGAGTTATTTTGTAATTATTATTTATTGACGTCTTAGTTAAACTTAGTAAGTTTCCTTTGTATAAGTTTGTTAAACTTTGAAAACTGTTTTTATGTGAATTATGTTTGCTATTAAACATCTGTTTTTGTTGAATTCTCTAGCCATTACTTACTGTACGAAATGATATTTCACCAATAAAGAACCACTTCCTTGTGGGATTCACAATGTAAATATCAATAAATTGTTTAATTATATTTTCAACTAAAACAATAATGTACAGGAATTGTGTGTGTGTGTTTTCTGGCGTGTTATTAATTTAATCAGCCACGGATTCGCATCCTGCCGATGGAGACTAAGAACTAAAGTACATCCGCTAAGGGTCGTGAGTCTGTTTATTGTATATGGTATAGTATATAGATAGCTATGCATACATATATGTATAATGGTGTGGTAAATGATATGAAGTGCCACGATCTTTTCCCCCGGTAAATATATGGTGAAATCTGTTGCGTTAAAATCGTTGTAAATATGATTTCTCAGTTATTGTTAGATAGATATATATTTAAATATGTTTGCATGTTGGTGAGCTAAATGCGCTTCATGCTGCTGCTGTAAATATTGAGTGTATAAATATGTTGTATTCGTATGTATATATCGTTTCTATAGTTGCGTGTACTGATCCTGGGGGGAAATACGATTTCTTGTCCTTTCTTCATCTTCACATTCATCTTCTTAGCCTATGAAAAATGCGTTTGTTGTCGTTTTTACATTTTTAGAAAATGTTTAAAGTACATAGAACATAAGAATATAGCATGTTTTAGGCTAAATATCACCCACGATTAAATCGTTGCTTAGAGACTATGTAAAAACTAGACATATAATACATTCTCGCCTTGTAAGTGTGTGTATAAATATATCCCTTTATCAGATTATAATTCAGACATAAACCAAAGGACACGAGTCCACGCTAAGCACTAAGTGGTATACAAGTGTTAAATATAGTATGTAGATTTAACCTTACAATTATGGGGTGTATATAACGTACGTTTTCATATTCTATTAACATGTTAAGCTCGCTGAACATTTCACTTTATTTGTAATTAAACGTTTATAGATTTTTTAGACATAGTCCGAGGGCACAGTGCTGGTGCTCGTCTCGTTGATGGCCGCCAGTCGAGGACCTCGTCGTTGCGTCATCGCCGCCGCCTCGCCGGGCGTAAGGCCATTGCCCCCACCACCACCCCCATTAAGGATGGCGGCCGCCGTAACTGCAGCTATAGTGGCTCCGCCTCCGGCTCCCCCTCCTCCACCACCTCCGCCATGATGATCCCAGTTGGGCAGCGGCTGGGACATCACGTTCAGTCCGACAATCTCGTAGGCGCCCTGATTACTGCCACTCGCACCGCCGGGCATCGCGGTCACCGACAGATCCGAATAGTAGGCACTGCTCGGCGCCGAGGAGACCACCATGGGAATGTCCTGCTCGTGGCCCTGGTAATTATATTTCTGTAATGGAGAGAAAGAGGATTCCGGGATTAGATTTTAATTTATGGATTTTTCTTAAAGTTAAAGGTAAAATATTATCTATCTTTGATTTACTTAAAATCGTATCCCAGATTTTTTTCTTTATTTTTAAACTATACAATCTATAAAAAAAAAACATAATAAATTTCCCTTAAATTAGATTAGATTTGAATTTATGGATTTAACAAAAGAAGTTTGGTTTAAAATTTTAATAGAAAATCAAAAAAAGTTGTTTGTCATTTTAATTCAAATATTTAGTTTATTGAAACAATAATTTTATTTTTCCTAGTTAAAAATGTAGTGTAGTATTTTAAATAAATTTTAGCATTTCTTGTAATATAATAGAATGTTTTGAATTTGTTGAACATTGTATCTAAGTTGTTTATGAATAAATGGTAAAAACTGTTTATTTTGATAATTTTAAATGCATTTTTGGTTAATTTTGGTTAATTGAATTTTATGATAATAATTTTTAAGACCCATAAATAAGTATTACTCACCTCGCCACACTGACTGTAGGCCGTGTTCTGGTACGAGGGATTGGCGGATCGCACGGACTCGCGATCCAGTTCCGCGTAAAGGGCCTCGCTCACGCCCACCGGACTGTAGGCGTCGTCCATGTGGGTATAGTGGTTCTCCGCCGGCGACGTCGATGGAGGACCAATCTGGTCGGGACCGGCGGAAGAGCGACGACTGCCGCCCAGCCAGGTCCAAACGCCGGAGTTGCTCGTGGGACGCCGGATGCTGTCCGCCGAATGCTTGATCGAGATGGGCGATCGGTTTTGGCCACCGTTTCGGTTATTTCGACACCACCAAGGCTGCGGACGGCCACCTGCAAGGGGAAATAAATACACGGAGGGGTGAGACACACGAGTTCGCTATCTTTTGTTTGCTTAATTAAAATCATGTTACTCATACGACACGTTGTCCGGCGCGGCGGAGATAATTGCAAAAACTACATATTCAACGAAAATTACAATTGCCATTTGTGTGGATTATCTTTGACACTGGCTTAATTAAAAACTAAAAGAAAATCTTGCAGCGGAATTGGGTTTATTTCGAAATAATTTAAAAGTAATGTTAAATAAATAACAGATTATTGTAATTTTATTAATATTCCTTAAATATTTATTAAAAATATTTAATATTGTTTGGATTTTACTTATTTTCTTTCTTGATATAATTCTCACAATTAAAGGGTTCCTAACTCTTTGCTTTAAAGTCACCTGTTGCAAGTGAAGTGCGGACACTAATGATTCGATGGATTTTGTGGTTTCTTTAGGGGGTGGAGAGTTTACCAAAACCAAGTCGAAACGAATCGAACGCAGCAGAAATCTATGACATTTCGGTTTATAATCGGGCGATAAATCAAACATTCACCTCAGGACGCGAACAAAAGACAGAAACAAACAAACAAACAAAGCGTAAATTAAACGGCTGTCAACTGGCAGCGAGGTGGCAAACAAACTGCACCACTGCACCACCGAGTGGTTGCAGCTTTTGGTGGCAGTGGCAGCAGCCAAGTGGCCGAAAATGCCAAATGTTTCTCCTTTCCGCTATCAGCACATGTGAT